ATTGTGGACGATACGTTGCAAAAACTCGGAATGACAACAAATTACCATAAACTGTATATAAAGACAATATGGCTTGTCTTAAGTTGGATCGTAATTGTTATAATAGTAACTTATGTGGAAATTCTATGGTTGCAAAGTCAATACGACTATAACATTATAACAGCTATTTATATTTCCTGTGTGATAAATTATTGTAGCCATCTTAATTTTATTAGCAATCTGATTTTTACGACTATTCTTGGGTCAGTATCTTAAATATAAATTAAGAAATTATCTTAGCAGAACTACATATAAAAATTTATATATATACATATACATATATATATATATATAAAATTAAAATCTTTATACACATATATTTGCTAATAATTAATACTAACATATCTATTAACCTTTTCTCTATTTTAGATATATAAAATTAAAATTTGATCAGATAAACGAATTACTTTGGAATTTAATAAGAAAACAAAGAACGATAATTTGGAAAAATCCTATATCACATTCGCATCAATGCAAATTTCCAAGAATTTCAAACAGCAAATGGCAGACTTGCGTATTAATGTAAGAAAAATAAAAATAAATTCACACAATCAATTTAAAATATTGTATTTACACAGGCATCTACATTTGGAGTTATGTAAAATATCTCGAGAATTAGACTCGATATTCGGAATAGAAATGACCGTGTCCGTAGGAAGTTACCTCTGTTGGTTAGGATATCTCCTTTACGAACTTCTCAACATAATCCTTATCAACGATTATATGAAAAATGGGAAAGTGTACGCTATCCTAATTATAACTTGGTGTCTTCTTTTCATCTGTAAACTGCTATTTATTAATTATGTATGCGAGGAGATCAGCACTAAGGTATTATTCTACGTTCAAGTTCAAACTTATTTATTTGAAATTTATTTTTAACAATTATTAATGATGACTTTTACATAACTAAATTAGAAACAATCTAATTTTGCACATATAAATTTTAGGCAAGTGCAACAGGAGATTTAATAAATAGAATATCTTATTCCAATTATGATGTTGATAATGAAAGCGTAAGTTAATCTTAAAATAAGTTTGTTAAATATTGCTGAAATAAACATATGGATTTGAGTTTAAATAAAAAAGGGGAACCAAGAATGTGTACGTCTATTAATCCATTATGTTGATATAGATTTCACAGTTTTTATTGCAAATAGCCCAAGCTCCACTCAAATTCTGCGGGCTTGGACTTTTCCAATTTGGTTACAAAGTCTTTCATAATGTACGTTGTAACTGTTGTGTACTTTTTTCACTAAACATTCATTAATATAATAACTATACACATAATGAAAGATTATTATTTTGTTTTAGTTCTCCAAGTACACTGTGACCTTTGTAGTTATATTAGTACAGATGCATATGAGTAAGTAAGCGTTCAAAGTAGTCATAATTAATATAATGTATGAATAACTTTTAAGTTATTCAAATAAATGTTGAGAAAATGTTCCAGCGTCCAATAAAATAACTTTTTAAATATATAATGGTTATTATATATTTACGCTGCAAATTAGTTTATAGTTTTCTAGGAACAATGTGTTTCAAATGTATATAAAATTCATACTTTCTGTTTTATTTCTACATCAAATATTTCCCTCCTGCTTTCCTTGCAATTATTTTCTGCATAAAAGTATCTTTATATTTTTTTTTTTTTAATACAATTTCTATGTCAAGCGCAACATGTCGTAAAGATTAATTATATATGTGTATTATTACATTATTATTTTTGCATTTAAGTCAATTTTATTATTTCGTTACCGGCAATGATTAAACAGACCGTTATCTCGCAATTTGTTATTTTATTTTTATTTTTCAAACACGCATAATAACACTGTAGTAAAAGTAAAAATAACAAAAGACAAAAATGTCAAAAACACAACATCGATGTTTGTATTGATTTGAGTTTAAATTTGTATGAATGATGTATTTTGCTGCGTGTAAAAACACGACGAATTCATCCAGATCTATTTTAAAGATAGCTCGCTGTATGTAAAATTCAACATATTGATTATTTTATCAGACATGGAGTATAGTAATTATAATTATAAAGATCCACTATCATTGCCAGTCTACGAAGTTTTCGATAAAGAAAGTGCAGTTCGTAGTTGCAAAGACATACGCTATGACGAAGAACATTCGGGAAATTTTGTCGCCGTTACTGATTATTAGTTACGTGTGCGGTTTAAGAATAATCAAGTTTCGCGTAGGCGATCCAAAAAAATGGTTCCATTGTTTGTATATGTTGCTGTTATGGACGATGGTTACGCTTTACAATTTTATTATGATAGATTCAATATCTTATACAGTTCAATATTCCACTGAATACCACGTTTGCATTGGACTACATTCTTTTACAGTGTTAATATCAATTATCATTGGAGTACATTACGATAAGGTAACCAACATAGCATAGAAAATATTTAAGTATTTAAAACAAATGATTATAAATTAAAAACTGAAACAATTTACAGCTCATTATGTTAATATTTATCTAATAAAAAATAACATTATATTTTAAGTATGTAAAGTGTTTTGCACAATAATAAATCATAAAATATAAAATTTTAGTTTTTTACTACATATTTGATAGTATTATTTGTAATTATTTAAAAGAAGCAATTTATAAAAATAATATTCATATCTTATTATACTTCTTAAAAGATATAAACATATCATTTAAATCATTAAGAGATACAAAATATTGGTTTACTGTACCTCGTTTCTTTGCATCAGATATTTAGAAGTTGCATAAAAAAACTCATTATTGTGGACGACACATTGGAAAAACTTGGAATAACAACGAATTATCACAAGTTCAAGATGAAAATAGTATACCTCATTTTAGGATGGACTGTGATAATCATATTGTTAACTAATATGGAGATTTACTATTTAAATAAATATAGAATGGATATTTTATCAGCTATACTTATTCCTTTTATACGCAATTTTTGTGCTTATACTAATGTTATTGGAGATTTAACAATTGTCATTATTCTTGGGTTAGTCATTTTTATATAAACAAATATATTTATACATATATTATACATTTCCTACTCTTTTAATTCATTATTTACATATTTAGATACACAGAATTAAAGTTTGACCAAATTAACAAATATCTTGAGGAATTATCAGAAGATAACAAAAGTAAAATGAAACTAGCTTGGAAACATTCCATGTTACGTTCATATAAATCCAGATTTCCAAAAACTTCAAAAAATAAATATGTATCAAAATTTAACAAAATTTGGATTGTAATGTAAGAGTAATATGTAAGTTTAATTAATCTCAATTATATCGCGCAGATAATAAGATAGATATCAATGTTTAACAGACATCTTCATTTGGAGTTACGCAGAATATCTCATGAAATAGACTCGATATTTGGGACACAAATGACTCTCGAAATGGGATGTTATTTCACTTTCATAGCGACGATTTCTAAAGAATTTTTCCTTATAATATACAATAAAAATTATATCAATATAAATAAGGAGGTGCTTTACATCATCATGCTTGGATTCTGGCTTTTTATATATATCTTCAGACTCTTCATCATTAATTACGTGTGTGAGAGAGTCAGCACCAAGGTATCAATGTTATATATAAAATATTTTTATACATGCACTAATTTAAAATTGAATTTCAATAGTTTGACTATTACAAATAATATTGAGTTTTAATGTTCATAAATTGTGTGTTTTTGTGTATGTACGTATGTATATGTGAACTATGTACATTATTTTTCAAATTTCAACTTTAGGCAAATGCAATGGGAAATTCTATAAATAGATTTTCGTACCCTTCTTGCGATGTTGAAATTCATAAAAACGTAAGTTTTTAAGTTGATTAAATGTTATTAAAATATAGGTTTTCATTTAGATTAAAATAAAAGTAGATTAGAGTAAAATAAAATAAAAGTAAAAATGAAACCATTTTAATAATATTAGTAATGTATTAATATAGATTTTACAGTTTTTACTACAAATAGCTCAATCACCACTTAGATTCTATGGACTTGGGCTTTTTCAGTTTGGTTTTAAATTCCTTTATGGGGTATGTTGTAATTATTATAACCCAATATATTACTCTTTAAAAAATATTTAAAAAAATTAATTTACAAGTATTTAAACAATTAATTTTTTTTTTTAGTTTTTTGCTTCTATTTTGACTCTATTAGTGATATATATACAAGCGTTTACAAATAATAATTAATCAAAAAATAACAACTAATACATACTATATATAATACATACAAAATATTTAAATATCTAATGGACAGTAATATTCAGTACGTACATTTTTCATGAATTTTTAATAAATATTTTCCAAATATTTGACAGTTATTTCTTAAATTAATTTTTCACAGGAATATATTGTAACATATAAAACTAATTTTTTTATCTTATCTTTTTTAAATGATTGGTTTTATCTCTCTCACATCCATTTATATTCGTAGTAATTATTTGGCCTATGCAAAGATAATTTTATATATTTAAAAAATATTCTACCATTTCTAAATTTGCTACAAAAATCATAATTGAGATTTGTACATATAAAGATAATATAAAAAAAGCAATAATTGTACGTAAAAATATACATTTAAACAAAAAAACAGAATTACAAAATAAAGCAGAATTACAAAAAATATTTCATTATTACGCTATCTTTTAATATCAATTACTGGAATATTATACATCATATTTCATATATATACATTTGTTATTTAATAATTTTTTAAAATACTTATATACTTTATTGTAAAACTATTAAAATAATAGAAAGAATAAATATTATACATTAATAAAATCAATTTTTTTCATTAATTATTTGTTTCACTTCATAAACCTATTTACTTTGCGTAAAAACAGGCAAGGAACTAAACAATTGCCCTATTTGCTTACAATGTAAAATTCAGTGGATCGATTATTCCAATATATGTAAGTGTAGCAATTACAATTATGGGAGATCCACTACCGTCGTCCTACTATTGTCGATCAGAAAAGTATAGTTCGAAATTCACAATGGTGAAAAGCATTCGATCCATTTTATCGCCACTTTTGTTAATCAGTTCGGTGTGCGGTTTGAGGATTATCGAGTTTTCTGCGGGATATCCAAAACTTTGGTTCAATCTCCTCTACATTTCACTATTGTGGTCGGTTTATTGTTTTTTCGCAATAGATAAAGCAATATCTTTTATACCTGATGAATCCGCAGATTATATTATTTATGTTTCATTGAACATTTATACAGTTTTGTTATCAATACTTCTCGGAATATATCATTATAAGGTAGGAAAATGTTAAGTATTAATGTGTGCACATTAATATTCTTTTATCTCAATTATATTACACAAATGGCTTTCATAAAGTAATTTTGAAATCCTCGATATATTTGTACATTCTTACAATATTAACTATTGTTAAAAGATTTTATAATAAAAAGTGATCAAATAAATAAATATGTAAATTATCTATTATTTTTTAAATTTTCTTAAATAAATATATAAATTTTTGTTAACAGATTTATTTCACAATATGTTCAATAAAGTTTATTTTTTAATTTTATTTAATTCCTTTATTAATTTAATGCAATTATTATTAAAGATATATTCAAATGCTATCGTATTTTTTTTTAACAGTGACATCTTTACATCAAGTTTTTAATTAGATAATATTTATAAATTGTATTCGATTTTTTGCATAAGAAATTTAGAAACTGTTTAAAGAAGCTCGCTGTTGTGGATGACACATTGAAGAAACTCGGAACAACGACCGATTATGAAAAATTAAATAAAAGAACGATGTGGATTATCTTAGGCTGGTTAGTAATAGTTTCATTATTAAACTATTGCGATTACATGCGATGGCGAGATATGTATGATGCTCTAACATCCGTCTATGCAACGCTTGTACTAAACTATTGTTCCGATATCAACATTATTGAAGACCTGATTTTTGCAAATATTCTTGGGTTCGTAAATACTTTCACAAATGATGTAAAATTAACACATATAAAAATTATTTTAGCAATCTGTATATAAATCAATATTAATGTTTAAGAAAAATTAGGTACTTTTTACGAATTATATAGTATATATTTTTATACATTTCTGCATTATTCATTAAATCTCATCTAATCTCTTCTAAAATTAGATACTTAGGATTGAAATTTGATCAAGTCAACGAATATTTTCACAAATTGGCAACAGAAAACGTATGTGAGCAAACTTGGAAAAGTCCTACGTTACATTCGCAACAATGCAAACTTTCGAATGCTCCAAGCAGTAAACATATGACGTGGATCGTAATGTAAGTATAAATCTAGTCATTGTTATGTAACAATTTTACATAGTAAAATTTATCATGATTATGCAGACATCTCCATCTGGAGTTACAAAAAATATCTCGCGAAATAAACTCGATATTTGAAATACAAATGACTTGGAAGATGGTATGTTATTTCGGTTTCATAGCGGAATTCTTCCGTGAATTTTTCACTACGATATTCGTCAGGTATTACATCATTAATAAAAGAATCTTCTTCGTCGCTGTAATCATATTATGGCTCTTTTGGTATATCTCCAGAGTTGTCCTGATCAATTATATGTGCGAGAGAGTTAGCGCAAAGGTATCGATTTTACATTCAAACTCAAAAATCAAAATGCATCTTAATTCATGCCAAATTTCACAATATTGCAATTAATATCAACTTCCAATTTCTAATTTTAGGCAAATGCGACAAGTAACATTATAAATAAGATATTATGTTTCACTTGCGATGTCGAAATAAGTGAAAACGTAAGTTTCAACATAAAATCAAAAGATGTTACTGACTAAATTAAACTTTAAGTTAAGTTTTAGCATAAACTGAAAGGCAGCAATTAAATTAAATATTAAATTATCTATTATTTAATGCAGGTCTTACAATTTTTATTACGAATAACACAAGCGCCACTCGGGTTTTGCGGTTTTAGATTCTTTCAATTTGGATATAAATTTCTTTACAAGGTGTGTTATTAATTTTTCATTATCAACAAATAACTACATACATACAGACTATTTAAAAAGTCAATATTAATTTCTTTTTTTTTTAGTTCATCGAATCTATTTTGACACTTGCAATTATATTAATACAAGCAGACAGATTTAAGCACGCATTAAAAAATTTTAATTGAATACGATATAAAAATAAGAATTGATTTAATAAAATGCGATACGTAATATTATTCTTTCAGTTAAGTTCATTAATATTTATATATTTTCTTGTTCAGAATTAATATTCTTTTGCAGAAACTGCAAAATAAGATATCTTTCATCTTATTTTTACGTCTTATTTTTATCTTTTTCATTACTTCTCTTGCAATAGGTTTTTTCTTCATAAAAGCAGTTTTATATATTTCATTATATAAAAAAAATGTAAGTTATTACTAAGAAATAATAATGCCAGTAATAAAGAAATATAATTCGATTTGTCCCATTTACATTACATTAATTATTACCTGAGATAATTTAATGCTAATTGGATGCGGAAGCTGACAAAAGAAATAAACAAATGTAATTAATTAATTAATTAATTAATGGATTGCACATAGTCAGATGAGTTCATTAACTCCACGTTTGTAAGTTTATTGTAGATATAATTAATATTATTACATTTTTATCCCTCTCAAAAGCATTGTTCTCGAGAACATCGTTAACTCATCGTCATTAAAGTAAATTCAATCTGAATGTTGCACAGTAATAATAATTACCTGAACATTGCGTCAATTCACATAATATCGTATGAATAAAGACTTTCATAAATTTTGGTTATAAATTCACGCAACACATAATATTACAAATACTATAGATAAAATTAACGTAAAAGTATAATATTAGTATAAAACTCACAACAAGTATCTTTCTGAAACTGTGTAATAATTAAATTTTTATTGTTATTATGAATAAAAAGCGTAAGAAACTTCGTCATGTGCGCGTTGTATCAAAAGTCGATAACACACCTCCACATTTCAAGGCATCTGTTTATTTGAAAGCTCATAATTTGAAACATGATGCTCTACGAGTTAAAGAAATAGATAAAGAGAATATAAAACTACTAAAGAAGATAAACATAATTCATCGATTAGGGGTTAGTATTGTTATATTTTACTTTATTATAAAAGTAATACAATTTTATATATTATATATTAAAGCTAATAATTTATATATAATTTATATGATTTATTATAAAAATTTATTCCATTTCATTTATTTTTAGATAATATTAATCTATATATATGTGATAAGAACAAATAAAACATTAACTACGTTAAACGTTTATTTCGTTTTTAGGGATCTGTGGATTGCTGGGCACCGGATGTCAAATATAAATCGAAATTTGGGGATCAAGAATGTAGAAACCATATAATTATGCAAAAAAATAAAATTCTATTGAAGAAAATCTGTCAAGCAGAAAGTCAATATCCCACCCGCATGTTTTTAAAGAACTGGAAGAGACTGCATGAAGCAGTAGAGCATCGTGCAAAGTTATTTAATTATAGTATATATTTAGAAATAGAGTTTTGAGTAGAAACAGCTCGGTTTACACTTTTAGTTTGCAAAATTTGCATTTCGCAAAAAACGTGTACTTATCTTTCTATATTACACAGATACATTTCAGTGATTAAAAAACTGTCCGTCATATCAGATGTACAAAAGCAATTATCTGAGAAAAGTCAAACGAAATGTTTCTTCGACATTGGACTTAAAGAAGAAAATCAAGACTTAGGGCGTATAGTGTTCGAACTGTATGACAGTATCGTACCACGTACATGCGAGAACTTTGCAGCTTTCTGCCGCGGAGTAAACGGATTGTCATATAAGTACATAAATTACATTATATACGTATATTATATACAAAAAAGAAGTCAATTAAAAAGTTGTGCATAATAATATCGTGTTTGAGATTATCCCAAAGTTTAAATTTATTAGCGTTTAAGCGTGTGTTTTTAAATCTAAGGTTTTTGAAATCATTTAGTATAAAATTTATAATTTATAATTTATTTAGATACACTCCATTCCATCGTATTGTTTCTGGGTACTGGTGTCAAGGAGGAGATGTCACGAAGTTTAACGGTACCGGCGGTACCTCCATATATGGTGACTCATTCGAAAAGGAAGACTCTAATCTACGTCATACAGGACCCGGCATCCTATCTACTTGCAACAATGATGACGGCAAAACTGATTGCAAATTCAATCTCACGTTTAAATGCTTAAGAACTGTAGACGGGAATAAGACCGTTTTTGGCCGAGTAATAGATGGAATGAAGAACATCTACAAGGTAATTTAAACTTTACTTGAATAACATGTCTTGTGCAGTAATGCAATGCCATCAGCCAGTACTGCTTATTTAATTATGTACACCGACTTGTTGACAGGAAAGAAACGGTCTCTCTTATTATTTTTTCGATATACAAGTAAAACTTTAGTACCACAAATAAATAGTATTCTGTACCAAGAAAATTACAATTAAATATTACGATACGTATGTTTTCTTTTTATGCTTCAGTTTCATCGAAATTTAACTAGTTAGATTGTCTTCAATGTATATTAAATTAAGAAAATATATAAACAATTCTAAAAGTTTATAATAATGTAATAATTTAATCGATTATGTTATTTCAAAAAAAGATATAAAAGTTAGAGTTTCAACGTATGTTTCTTTGCTCTGTACAAATGAGTCTTATTTCTTCATTCTTATACAGATATCTCCTTTCTCTTAGTTCTATGAGCCTTATTTATTTATTCTGATCTCCATTCCCTTAGTTAAATTTTGTTTTAACTTTTCCAATATATATTTTTCATTATTACTCACAGAAATTTCATGTATCTATATGAATCTATATGTAATGTAAATAAAATGTGAACATTGTGTTGAACTTGAACGTTCAATGATAGTATGAAAAATTAGTCATATCTACAAAATAGTTAATTCTTTCTTTTTTCAACTAAAATATATATAACTAAAATATATGAATTGTAACTAATGCTACTTCAAGTTTCAGTGAATTATGTATTTCCATAAAATACATAGCATAAATACAAACACTATTGTCTTGACGCATATAGAATTTATGACAGCTTTTATGTTATCGTTACCATTAACATGGAGCTTTATGTTTATTGATCATGTAATGTCACTGGAACATATGTCGCCATCTAGCGAAGAGCTTGCAAGTTACATACAAAGACAAATTTCGATTTTCCTTTCCTTATGAGAAAAGAATATTCTACTACAAATTAAATTATTTACATTATTGTACTTTATTAAATTGTATTTAACGTAAAATAGAATAATATAAATAATTTATGTTTATAATTTTTATCTATTTCTGAGCTTTTAGCATCAACGGTAATTTTATTATATAAAATTAAAAGTTAATCAAACCTATTACAATAAAGGCCTATGAGAGCTAACACGCATGTCAGTGTGTAATAATTTTTTACAATATCCAGTCACACACGAACTGTGCGCCGCATAATCGTCGGACTTAAAACACAGCTTATTGCATAAGGCCGGAATTGTAACAATTGAATTGACTAGCAATTTAACACGCATTTATATAC